CATCGCCGACAGGGAACCGAATGGGAGAGAGTCTCATTCAAACGGCCACACGATACAAGCATGAGGACCAGCGTTCAAGTCTGTAGAACCTGAGTAATCAGCCAGCATACTCATGTGTATACCCATAACCATAGCACTGTGGGGGCTGGGGCCAGGCCAGGAGGGTCTCTGGGGCTTGTTGACTACCGGCATAGGTACGGGTTCAGCGAGAGATGCTTTGTCAGGGCAATATGGTGGAAACTGATAAGTTAAGATCCCTGAAGTCCTCCTCTGGTCTCCGCACACATGGGGACCCCTCATCCCCACCCACTGCAGGCACTGGTGCTGCAATTAAAAAGCGAGAAGTCTTAGACAGAAAGCATAAATATATTTTAAGAATATTTCATCAAGTTCTGTTACATTTTCGTTTATAACATGATAAAAAAAATTAGTGTTTACTTGGATCCGAAAAGCCCTTTCAAGCAGCATAATTTGGTAAGATAAGAAAACACTAATGATTGCTCATCGGGTAGAAGGTTTTCTTTTTTAATCATATTCGAGATCCTGGTGTCTCATAAAAGAATGTTATCGTATATTTGATGAGTTATGGCTGATCTCTGCATACGTAGGCAGGCCCCACGTCTCTGTAAAACTGAGTCTCAGGAGTGGGGCTTCCACGGTACGGTGCTCATCAATCTCAAAAATCACAGAGATTGTGTCCTTTCCACGCAGACTAATAGTAAATGAAATCTTGCTAGGAAACCGTTTTCACTAGCGTCATACATGACCACTCTGAGGGTTTGAGAGTCCAGGAAATAACAACTGCTTTCATCTGGGCTAGGGACTGAACCCAGCACCTTGCAAATGGCCGGGCAGCTGCTCTCTGGTGCTGAGCTACACTCCAACCCCTTACTTTATCTTAATTTGGGACTTCGCTGTTGTTTAAAGACCTATTAGACTTTCCCAGGGGTCGCCTGTTCTGTTTTCTCCTATCTGGGTGCCATTACTGGTTGTTGGTACTCTAGTGATCAGGCCGTATTCGTGACTTTTATGTGCCTGTCATCAAACACCTCCACTGAATGACTTAAAGGAGGAAAAGTTTTTGTTTTTTGTCGGGGAGGGGCTTATGGTTCCCGAAGTTTCTGTTCCTCCTGGTGGAGAGGGCATGGCAGAGCAGCGTCCACTCTGGTGGGCGTTGTGGCAGCAGCTGTTCCCGTGGATGCGGCTGGAGCCGAGCAGAGAGCAGGTGGAAGGTAGGGCCAGGCTACAGTTTACACAGACTGTGGCTGCTTCAGCCAGCCAGTTCTCTTTGAATGGTTGGTTGTTTTGTTTTTTGTTTTTTAATCAAGACAGGGTCTCTCTGTGTAACAGCTCAACTCTCCTGGAACTCACTCCGTAGCCCAGGCTGGCCTCAACCTCACAGAGATCCTCCTGCCTCTGCTTCCCAAGTGCTGAGATTTAAGGACTGCACCTCCATACCCAGCCAGCCAGCCAGTTTTTAAGAGCTTGGTGGGGCCCATATCACCAACAGTTGGGGAGTTACTGTTCAGAGCAGGAACCGGTGGCAGTCATTTCAGATTCAAACTTTCGGATCACCACTTTTTTTTTCAACCCCACTCCCCACCATTGTTTGTGACTTATCTTTCAAACTGGGGTATTGTATCTTCTGCCACACAGAAAAGTTAACTTCCTTTCGTTCATTTTTCTTTTAAATTAATGTTTAGGGGCTGGAGAGATAGCTCAGTGCTTAAGAACATGCTCGTTCACTTCCAGTCCAGTTGGAGTTGGTGAGCTCTCATTAACTCAGGCAAACTGTGTCAGTGGGTGAACCCCTCATGGTCTTAACCTCTTTGCTCATATTCTCATTCCTTCCACTCTTCAACTGGACCTTGGGAGCTCTGGTGAATGAAGGTTCTCTGGTGATATTTAAGATAATCATCAGTCTGACTATAGGGCAAGGCTAATTCAGGCCCCCTCTCCCCTATTGCTTAGGGTCTTAGCTGGGATCATCCTTGTGGATTACTGGGCTTAGTTTTTGACGTGGAGTCTCTCACTGAACCGGGAGCTCACTAATTCAGCTGGCCTGGCTGAATGAACCACAGGGATCCGCCCATCTCCTTGCCAGCCTGCACAGTGGAGCACTCTACCTGGCTTTTTATGTGGGTGCCAACACTTCATTGACCGAGCCACTTTCCACCCCGCCTCCCGCCCCCAGCTTCACATCGCCTTTCCTTAAACTAATCCTGTTTCATAAGATCCTTGTTATTCCTCTGAGCCTGTCTGGAGAATCCAGGCCGATCTCCGGGTCCCAGTCCCCTCCCACCCCCACCCCTCCAGGCCTTGCTGTCTTGTAGGTCACAGGGCCCGGACCTCACATCTGAGGGCATCGCCCAGATGACGGTGCTTTTCCTTGTGCACAGAAAGGAAAGGACTTGCTTTCGTGTTTCACCTGTCTGGATGCATTTTTGCCAAGATCCAGTGACTTCTGTCTGGCTTCCCTGTTGTCTTCAGTTTGCTGTGCTCTTCCTTCTCTGGGATTTTCCTGGCACCCGTGTCCCTTTCCTGCTTTCATTTTGGCGTTTGCCCCTCATTGTCTTCTTGCTTCTTGTCTAGAATGTCCTGACTAATACCAAATAATAGCCCCGAGACCAGACATCCTTGTTGGTAATTTCACAAGAAATTGCCTAATGATTTTGCCACTGAGCATGGTAAATTCTAATAAACACGATTAAGCTAAAGGGATTCTGAGAAGTTGAGTCCTTGTAAACCAGGATTTTAAGTCAGGAATATATTTAAATGTAGTTGCCATTATGAATATAAAAGTAACCGCGTAGTCTCTTTTATCCTGCTAATGGCTTTTCCAGTAATGAGTGTGGATTCTGGGAATCCATTTTTCTTGGGCATGCTGTTTTGTTTTGTGAACTGTGTGTTGGACCCTTAAAGGCACATGGGCCTGCCTACATTTTGGCGGCAGTCCAACAGACGGGAGTCCAACGGGGTTTCAGGTGTCTGACCTCCATGACTACGTGACAGTCAACCTGTGAGCTGATATGTTCATACAGTTTTACTCAAAACTAAAAAACAACCGGGTATGCTGATATGCACCTTTAATCTCAGCACTTACTTAGAAAGCAGAGGCAGGTGGATCTCTTTGAGTTCCAGCCTAGCCCGGTCTACATAGTGAGACCCTATCTAAAAAAGTTAAATTGAAATTTTATATGTGTTGAGTGTTTTGCACCTGTGTGTATGTATGTGTGGCATGTGTGTGCCTGGTGCGCACGGAGGTCAGAAGAGGGTATTGGATTCCCTGAGACAGGAATTGCAGATGTCTGGGAGCCACCCTGTGGAGGCTGGGAACGGAACTCAGGTCCTCTGCAGGAGCAGCAAGTGCTCTTAACCGCTGAGCCATCTCTCCAGCCCCTATTGGCTGCTTTGTACTTCTGAGTGTGTATTAGGAAGGGAGTTTGGCATAGACCGTTGAATGTTTGCTTTGCCATCCCCTGGACAGCTTAGACATCGTGAATCATCTGGTTACACTGAGTGAATTGGAAAACATTCTACTTTGTGCGTGACCTCGAACTGGTGGGATAGTATTGTTCATACTGGAGCCTTTGACTGGGCCTGCAGCTCATTAGTAGGATGCTTGCTAGCGTACGTGAGGCCCTGGGTTGAACTCTAGTACCACAAAAACAAATCAAAACAGGCAATATCATTAGTAATAACACTAAGTAGTTTTGAATACTATGCAGTTTGAATAGGTCCAGAGACCCAGGCCTGTCTCCTGGGTCACTACCTACTCCTGCTTGCTACCCCCATCTTTCCCTTACCTGGTAGTGGGGTTCTGTCCCTCAGACCCGAGGGACTTCCCTGCTGTCTTGGCAGCATCTGAAGTGAGGCTGTGACTTGTCGAGCATGTTTTCTCTTTGTAAACGTGCTCAGCCCACACAGGAGGGTCAGTCACATCTACCAACTCAGCTTCATTCATAGGAACCTGTCAGGTCAGAGGTTTGCCCAGGATAGCCCTGATTCCCATGGGGCTTCCCTTCCAGGTGCTTGGGAGTTGTCTTTCAGCCTTAGTCGCTGCAGGGTTCCTATGAATCTGCCTAGCGTTTCAGCTGTGTTCTGTCCAGTCTCGGGGGGCCTCGTGGCAGTCGCCCCCGATACCAGGGTTTGCGGTAAGGAAGGTGGTCTGGTAGCTGTGCATCTGGACCAAATCGTACGAGGCCGTGCGTTAGAGTTTAGATCGATGAGCATGAAAATCAGCAGATTTTGAGAACATGATGTGGATATGCAAGTCAGGGGAAACCCACTTTATCACAAAGGCCGGGCTGCTTGAGGTAGCAGTTTTCACTTCCTCGAGAGAGATTCTCTTACTGAGACGCTCCCTTTAGTTCAAAATTTCAAACTGATTCCCCGTTTGTCCCAATGATTTCTAAAGCCCATGGCAACTAGTTCTAACTTAAACTTAGTAAACCAAGGTTGACAGTGTCTAGTCTAAACCTAGTAAACCAAGGTTGATGGTGACTAGTCTAAACTTAGTAAACCAAGGTTGACAGTGACTAGCCTAAACCTAGTAAACCAAGGTTGATTGATGGTGATTAGTCTAAACCTAGTAAACCAAGGTCGACAGTGACTAGTCTAAACCCAGTAAACCAAGGGATTGACAGTGACCAGTCTAAGCCCAGTAAACCAAGGTTGACGGTGACTAGTCTAAATCTAGTAAACCAAGATTGACAGTGACCAGTCTAAACCTAGTAAGCCAAGGTTGACGGTGACTAGTCTATATATTTTAAGAGGGATGCTCTGGCTGGGTATCTTTAGTTCTTAGATCCTTCCCAGGACCCATTTACTTAAACATGGACACGTGTTCCTTGAAAGCAGCTGCCCTGACTTCTGAATCAAAATCCTGCTGAATCCGTCCTATGTAAATGCTTTCCCTGGGAAAATATTTCAATGAAGAGTTAGTGGTTTTGTGTTGTTTTTCCATGCTGTGTAAATCCAGTTCTTTCTTTCCTCCGCAGCCAAACAAACCATCACGAATATTTCAGTATATAATGAAACCTGCCTAAGATGGGAAAGCCTGGAGACGGCCAATGTGGAAGAGCTGTATTTCGTAAGTTTCTAAAATCTGCCTTGCTTGCAGATGTGCACTCTGTGGAAGGTTTAAAACCTTCCTAGCTGGGGCTGGAGAGACGGCTCAACTGCTCCTTCAGAGAACCCAGGTTCAATTCTCAGCTCCCTCATGGCAGCTCCTAATCATCTATAACTCCAGTTCCAGAAAATTCACTACCCCTTTCTGACCTCTGTGGGCACCAGGCATGCAGACATAGACATGCATGTATGTAGGTAAAACACTCACACATATAAAATAAAATGAATACAGCTAAAAGAAATTTTTCTGATCTACAAGACTAAAAAAACGTGCTTGTATCTGCCATTGGCAGAAGGTGTATCATGGTGACTGAATGAGGAACAGTGAAGAGCCCCTTCCGCTGCTTGTCTGCAATGGACTCCTTGGGAGTGGTAAGAAAGCGCGGACATTTCTTGAGTTGTGTATCTTGGTGCAGAATTGACGCTCAGGAAGAGTGTCTGGTAGGAGTCTGGTTATCTGTGGTCACGCTGGTGTCTCCGCAGAGCCCAGGGTCTATGTGTGTTGCTCAGACAGTTAAAGGGAACCTGGGAAGCTAGAAGATTCCTGAATGTATTCCCAGAAAAGCTCTCCAGCTTCAGCTACTGGATGTCACCAGAAGGAGTTCCCTAATCAGGTTGTGCCTGGTTAGATTCCTGATTTTCTCTCTAGGGAAATGTTCTTTGGCCGTGCTTCTGTGGTCTTGCCAGCAGGCTTCCGCGCTGTGTGTGCAAGGATAGAAATAGAAAGGAACAAGCTGCCTGTGGAGGAGCCTCTGAGATTTGCTTGTTTATTTTTGAGACAGTTTTACTATGTGTCCTGGGCTGGCCTTTCTAGACCAGCTTGGCACAAGAGTGTTCGTTGCTCTTCAGAAGCTTGGTTCCCAGTACCCACACCCAAAGCTCACACCAATCCAGGGGATTCAGTGCCTCTTTGGGCCTCATGGACACCTGCACAGAAGCACACACCCCCCACTCCCCACACACATAAATAAAATATAAATAATTCTAGCCTCTTGAGGACTGTGATTACAACCATCAACCAGAATGATCAGTTGTGTCTACTCTTACTATAAAATATATGCATTGTCCTCATGGTGTTATAATCACTATCTATACAAATATGTATAGTGTTGAGAATTTACTGTTAACTTATTGTTGCATTTACTTCTTGAAAAAGCTCTATAGCAGAGAGGGGGAAAGCAGAGGGTGGGGAGAAAACTCCTGGAAAAAGCGTAGGTCTCAAGGCATTCAGAACCTTCAAACCAGTGTTCTACCTTGTGACGGTTTTATCTTTCAGTTCCGCATTTGGGGCCAGAGATGGTATCAGAAGGCATTTGTTCTGGAAATAGTCTTTAACATCACCAGTAGCAGCCAGGCCCCTGAGATCTGCCTGGACCTGCATCCAGGTACCAACTACAACGTCAGCCTTCAGGCGGTGTCTTCAGCACTTCCTGTGGTCGTCTACCTGACAACCCAGATAGCAGGTAACTCTCGAATAACAGCATTTGGATTAATGAAGTTACCACAGAGCTGTCGGAAGCCCACATACTACTGTAGCTTTCTGTCATGATCAACAAAGCTTGAAGGAGAAGGGAGGGATGAAACAAAATGTCGATTAAATTTAGATAGTATAAATAACTTGTGAGTTAAGTCTCTTCTGGGTATTTGAAACAGTTAAAGCATTTCAGCCAGGCATGGCGCTTCATATCTATGGTCATAGCATTTGGGAGGTGGAGACAAGAGGGTCAGGAGGTTCACAGCAAATTTGAGGTCGGCCTGGGCTAAATGCCCAAATAAACCAAGCAGCAGCAGCAACAATAACAACCGATAAGTCTAATAAAACATTTCATACCTAAAAAGATTTCTTGTTACTGTCCTCTAGTAACACACTAAGCTAGCGTTCCAGTGGTAGTGAAATGGCCCGGTGGTCAAATTGCTCTCTCTCTAAGCATTGGGGGACCTGGAACTCACATAAAAAGTCAGGCATGTAACTCAGCGCTGGGGTGAGAGTTACCAAGACTTACTGATGAGGTAACTAACTGAATCAGCAAGCTCCAGGCTCAGTGCGAAACTGTGTCTCAAAAAATAAGGCGATGGTTCTGCTGTAACTGCCACTAAGCCTGAGACTGGGATTTTCCCCCGGAGCCCACACGGTGGAGGACAGAACCCATCCCTCTAGTTGTCTTTTGACTCACACACACGTGCGCACACACTCACACAGTGGACGTAGTAATAGACGTCTGGCACAACTGCCTTAGGTGTAGCTTAGGCCAGGAACATACCAGGCCCTCTCCATCTATACCCCCAGTAAATTGCCTTCTGCTAACTTCTCCCTGGTGTCTTCAAGTCTTTGAGCCCTGATCTCCAGCCCAAATGTAGCTTCCTGCTTTTTGTCTCAGTGAGAAATTAAAAATGCTGAGTGGAGACGCATTTATCCACACCTCCCATTCCTGCCTTGCTTCCTATTGTGTTCCTTCCTATTCACAGCTGTTCCTATTGCCTTCCCTTGTGTTCCTCTTCCTATTTACAGCTGCTGCCCCCTCAAGTGTGTGCTGGATCCCGTCTCTTCTTGCCAACTTCCGTCCACTGCAGAATTATCCCTAAGGCTACCAAGGCCGTTGCAACAACTTGTTTAGCAATGAGCCCACGCCCACGCCACCCCCAGCTCCTTTGCCTTCTTCGGCCTTCCATCATACTTCCTGTATAGCCCAGGCTGGCTCCAACCACGTGATCCTCCTGCCTCGGCCTTCCAGGTGTTAGGGTTGCAGGCTGTGCACCACGGCTTGTGTGGCTGTTTCTCCCTGCTTTCACTTGTGACTGTTGCTCTCCGCCGCCAACTGTGACCTTAGCTTTCACCCTACTTTTAAAAGGATCGCTTAGCAGCTACGGTGCCTTGTAGAGAGTAAGAACGTGGCTGTGCCTGCTCACAGGTCTCCTGTGAGTTCTAAAGCTAGACTAGAATCCAATTTTTTTCTTTTAGCATAGAACTTGTACTCCAACCCTGGACCACCTCCTTTAATTCGATACCCCCCTCATCTCCCTCCTCACCAGGCACCAACTGCCTCCCTCCCTCACCTTCTTGCTTTTTCTTAGAATTGTCCCTGCTCCAGGCTTTTCCATCTGCCGTTAATTCTTCCCTGCATGGTCTCTCTGAGATTTCCCATGAGCACTCCGGTGTGATTGGTCCTACCCTGTCTCACTCTGCTCTGTTTTGCTACAGCTGACCACGGATTGAGTGGTTTACAAAGATTCGTTTTCTTCAGCCCATTGTTTGGATGTTGGAAAGTGTGGGCTGGAGGGCAGCATCTGGTCAGAGGTAGTGAGGACCTTTGTGCTGGGCCATGACCTGGCAGAGGTGTCACATGGTGAGGTTTTCCTCAGACCAGCTCTCCAGATAACCCATGAATTCACAAATGGATGAGCCCACCACAAGGACAAGGCCCTCAAGACTCCATCACCTCCCCAAAGTCCCACTTTTCAAACACTACTAATATATGGTTTTGACTTTAGGCATATGATATCTGGGGATCATATTTAAACCACAGCACCCTTGGAAAGGCCTCACCTAACCATCTTTCCAAAACCCCCCTCCTCATTCTCCACCCTATTACTTTCCTTTAAAGAATTTTAAGCTCATGTTTATGGGTGCTTTGTTTGCATGAATATCTGTACCCCAGAAGAGGTCATCGGATCCCATGGGACTACAGTTATAGATGATTGTGAACTGCCATATGGGTGTGGGGAATTGAACTCAGGACCTCTAGAAGAGCAGCTAGTGTTCCTAACCCCTGAGTCATCTCTCCAGCCCCCACCCTATTACTTTCTCTCACTCACCCTTCTTGTTTTTTGGATCTTAAAAATTGGTTTTTTTTTAATCTTTCTCTCCCTCTGAAAATGGAGGTTTTGAAAGCAAAGGTTTTTTCCCCCCTCTTTGTTCGATTCTATCTTGAATTCCTCAACAAGTGCTAATGACACGTAGCACAATAAATCCATATTTGTCAAATAACGGCCGAGGGTAATTGATGCTGAGGAGTCAGATCTTATATCTAGAGAAATTCGGAGGATCTTGAGCTGGAGATAAGTGATGTTCAATTGAGAGTTTATAGAGCAGAGTAACTCCCATCTCCTAGTCTCTGGTCCTTCTCAGACTTGCGTGGGTTTTACCGCTTTAAGAATATTTCAGTTATACCTCGTGGTTTTTGTTCTCTGTATGCGCAGCAGGAGGGGGCTGGCCATGGATCATATGTACGTCAGAGGACAACTTGCAATAGGTATTTTGTCTTTGTTTATGTATTTTTTACCTTGTTTTGAGAATACATGTCAAACAGTGTCCTATGCCCGTGCTCATGGCCACCAGAGGGCACTGTTGAGCTGTTCAAGTTCATGGGGACAGTGCAGCCAGTTGAAGTGTCCTGAGATCACGGCTATTATATGAACTTTGTTTTAGAATTGGCAGGTTTTTGGGGTTTTTTTCTTTAGTTTTTGTTTTTTTCTTAGCATGAAAATTCAAATTGGTAAGTGTTTATTAAAAAGTTGAGAGCAGGAAAAAACCCCTTTCATCCCATAAAACCGAGAGAAAAGAGACTCCGATAATGCTGATATGAAAAGACACTCCAGATGTGTGGGGCACTGTTTCAGCAGAGCCAGGAACTTTCACATGTTACCAGAAATGCTAGGTTAAGGATTTGAGTCCGGAAAACAGAGCGGATGCTTTCCCAGAAGAGAAGCGGATGGAATTTCTCTTCGGTGAGCCTCCCATCAAAAACTAAATCTTGCTGATGGGAACGAGATGAACACAAGAGCTTTAAATACAGCGCTGACCTCAGAGGAGATGAAGAGGAATGTCGAGGGGGCAGAGGCACAAGAGGCAGAGAGAGGGTGCTGGCTGGGGGTGGGAAGAGGAGATAAGGGAAGTTGCTGGCTCCCTGTGTGTGTACTAAGGCGGCCCACTGAGCAGAGTTCTTCAGAACAGGCTGGTTCATGCCCGTCTTTAGGGCCGGGAAGAGAACAAACAAGCTTCCGTCTTTGATGTAGACCCCAGAGAGGCAGAAGGAAGTGTCCTCGCATGCCGCATGCCGTTTGGACTGTTTTCTTGTTGAATCTACGAGCTTATAAGCAAAATTTTCTTTTCATAGAGACAAGACAGGAAACCAGAGAAGGCTTAAGTGGTGGTGGTGGTGGGGGTTGCTTCGGAGAGGGTGGGGGAAGGAGAGAACAAAAGCAAGTGTCCTCGTGAATGGGATGGTAGACTACAGTTGTCCCACGTGACGCGACACATTGGAAGTCAGTCATTTCTCGTGGAACCAAGGAAGCTGGAGGAGAAAAGGGAAAAAGGATGGAAGTTTCTATGTTTGACTTCAATGCTAACGCTGGCATCTTGTGTGGGAAGTTTCCCGTCTCTGCTGGCTTTTGTAATAAGAAAGAGAAGGCAGCCAGCACTTCCTGCCCTCTCTGCCCTGCCTCTGGCACCCCTTTCCCATCACCGAGTGACACTGGGGGGCATCATGCAGGGCTCATTCTCCTGAGTTGTTCTCCCAGACTTCTGTTCCATTCGGGGTGACCACCAGCTATCGAAGGGTTCTGTACCTGATGTCCCCATTGTCCCTAACTGGTTCCAGGGTACCTCAGTGATCTGGGAAAGTCGCCCTGGTGTCAACGGGGTTAAAGTTACATTAGAGGTCTGGGTAGGAATTGGCTTTTGCTAGTCTCTTTTCCTTTCCAAGCCCTTGGTAAATCAAAGCTCCTTGATTCCTGGAGACATAGTCTGGGGTCAGGCCAGAAGCTCCTATGCTTCTGTAGCCCACGCACTTCTCCCAATTCCCTGAAATATCCCGGTTCCTTTCCATTCCCAGATCTCCAAAGTAAATGGCTCAGTAGACTTGGACATCTCTCCTCTCCACTCACTCGGTTCCCATTAGTCTTCATCAAGACCAGATGACCCACTGTGGAAGGAAATGGGCTATTTGAGTCACTTTCTTGCATAGACTTTATAAAATGTGTATAAGACCAGGTGTCCCAGCCTTTAGTCCCAGCATATCTGACTTCAAGACCAGTTTGGTGTGTGCAAAGCAAGTTCCAGGACAGCTAGGGCTGCTTGGAGAAACCCTGACTCAGAAAAACAAAACAAAAACAAAACAAACAAAAAAGTGCACGTGAAGGCTTCCTCAGATCAGAACCCTAAACACCAGAGTTGCTGTAGGTGTGATGGGTGTGACAGGACCATGCTGACACCCAGCTCTTGAATGTGTGATGGGTGTGGCAGGACCATGCTGACACCCAGCACTTGAATGCAGGCAATATTTATGAACTGGTTACGCACAAATACCTATGCAAAATGCTGAGAGGGGTGTAGAGGGCTGAACCTCACAGCTGTGCGGGAGGGGAGGCTTGTCTGACCTTGTGCTGGTGACTTCTGGTGGGCGGTCCCAGTCGTGTTTCCCGTGAGCTTTGTGCGTTGTGGTTGCACGGAGCCAGCCTGAAGTTT